ATCATTGAAGCATTGCCCAGACATATATTCTTCTTCATTTCCCTCATCCTTTTTTCTTACTTTCTTGTTTGCTCTTTCTAACATGCATTAATTCTATCATGTCTTCCAAAATACCGTTCCTGAAACCTTTCTGCATCCCTCTTGAATTACTTGGAGAATTAGAGCTTTTGGCAGCAAAAATTACATTTTAGCACACAGAATTATATCCACTGTAGTATAATCAGAATTAACTCTTACCCGATACAGTGGTTCTCACATTTCTAGAGAGGACACTTGGGTCAGCCTGGGACACCACAAGGCCCAGGAGAAATACTTTGCTCCGTGTGAAGTTGCTTCACCTTTTACAGAATTTCAAATACAGGTAAGACCAGTGATTGTTATTGTCTCTGTTGAAAGAAGGAAAATATGGAGAAAAGCTTTTTTAAAGATGTTTTGCCTTACGTTATTCAGTAGCTCTTTAAGCCGGAGGAAGGATCTCAGCCGTGCAGTGTATCACAGCCTGAGATTCCCCAAGAGCTCACATATTGTGCCTCATTTTGAATATCTCTGTTCTGCTCTCCTGGTTTTGAACCTCCCCCTTGATCAAATGTACTCACACATCTTCCCGTAACACTTTTCCTGATTTCCATTTGTCTCTTATGACCCAGCACTGTTCTGTTCCCCAAACAATCCCAGTCCCAGTTGTTCAGATGCCTTCCAGTGCTTCAGCATTTCCATACTTCTTCTGATGGATACACTTCTTCAACTGGCAGTAGCTCCCTAAAGCTGTTCACCTGTCATTCTTCAAATTGCTAATTCCAGAGTGACCTCTTTTTGTGAAAATAAAAAGAAGCTGTTGGGTAAGGTGTGCACGGCCTGAACAGCGGCTATGAATTTCCATGGATTTCCATGAAGCCTTTCCTCCTGGCGCAGCGGAGGCGGTTGCAGGCTGGCAGGGCTGGGAAGCCTGTGCCGCTGCTGGCAGAGCTCTAACTGTCCTTGGAGCCCTCAGTCAAGTCACTTCCAGGAGTGCAAAGTCATGATTACAAAGTTGTATGCAAAAGAACTAAATATTCCCATGGAAGCCTTAATAGAGCTGATGCAACTCCTGCTGAAGCTAATGGCAAATTCCTGTTCTATTCTGAATGGTATTCGGCCAGATTTATTACCGTTTTTGTTTAAATATTGTCTTTTCCTTCTTCCATTTTATTGCCCAAATTAAGAATGTAGCCCTTACTCGAGCTCATTATTTATAACCTGTTTATCAAAGGGCACAGCATGCCCATACAGTCTTCTGGAGGCAGCTCCGTGCTCGCTCTTCAAACAAACTACAGGTGAGCGAACCCGTATCTGAAGCCACTGTCCCCCAGGCAGTCTCCGTGGGGTGCTCTGTGCCACGCAAAAAAGATGCACAAACTATGACAGGAAACCTCCGAGCAGCTCACAAGGCAAGCATCTGCAAGGATTGTGGAAATATTGCTGCCCAGGTCATGGAAAGTTCATTGCTTTACAGCTTATAGGTTCCAGCTGGGAACTTGGCTTTTGATTTCAAATTCTGCACCTGAGAAAATTAGGGCAATGCCTGTCTCACAAGTGGCACCCTTACCTCTGTACCACAGCAGGGAGACAACATATAGTTAGGGGAAAAAAAGATGGTGTAAACGAGACAAACGACAGAAATGCCCAGCTTTCCATACTATACGGAAAAAAATGTTTTTCTTCATAACAGAATGAAATCACTGAAATGGGGTTTTGACTTTCTTAACTTTTCCTGTACAAAGCCACACTCCAATCCCACATCACAGAATAGGAGCCCAGCCACATCCTTTGTGCTGTAAAGACTCCCGAGCACAAACAGAAATAAAACCACCAAGGTAGAGTTAATAATAATTTTCCAGGGGTTATTCATGGGCCCGATCAGTATTTCACATGCATGCCAGACTAACTACTCACGCCTGCAGTCCCACGGGGCACAGGGGGGTTGCTGACAGCAAAGCAGAAAGTGCCATTTCTGTCTGCAAGGTAATGGTTAACAAAATGGGAGCTGATTAAAAAAAAGCCAACCAAACCTTAGAGAAGCACTTTCCAGATTATGGGATGACAGATTTATACTTCAGCAGATGAACGCTACTCAGTAAGAAAACAGAGCAGCATCAAATCTGTTTGGAAATAAGTATAAAACCAGCCATTGGGAATGTGATGCTTTCCAATCACAGGACAAACGGCGTTGGGCAGACAACACACGAACCCCTCACTGGATGAATTGGGGAGAAACCCCCGGTAAACAGCCCATCACCTGCCTTCACCGGGCTCAGCTGCTTTCTCCATCCTCTGATTAAAAAAAAGCCAACCAAACTTTAGAGAAGCACTTTCCAGATTATGGGATGACAGATTTATACTTCAGCAGATGAACGCTACTCAGTAAGAAAACAGAGCAGCATCAAATCTGTTTGGAAATAAGTATAAAACCAGCCATTGGGAATGTGATGCTTTCCAATCACAGGACAAACGGCGTTGGGCAGACAACACACGAACCCCTCACTGGATGAATTGGGGAGAAACCCCCGGTAAACAGCCCATCACCTGCCTTCACCAGGCTCAGCTGCTTTCTCCATCCTCCACAGCAATCTGTATTATGTGTGACACACCCACTCACCCTCATCCCCTCCAAAACCTCTGGAAAAGAAAATATTCCAGGCTATCCGATACAAAAAGAGGTCTATTTTTGCTCTTCGAGCTCAATGCTGCAATGGCAGGAAGGGGGATTCTCCTTCCTGGGCTGCAGCTCTGGGCTCTGTCTCCCAGCAGCTCCTCTGCCCCCAGCGCCGGGACCCCCCGAGCCCGGGGAGGGACAGAGGGACGGGACCTGGTCCTCAGGGGAGCTGCTCCCTGCCCCCGCTGATGGAAACCTCCCCGACCTTGGCTGCTCCTGCCAGAGCAAGCTGTGGTTGTGGCGTTAGGAAGTCACTGTGGCATTAGGAGAGCTCGTAAAAGCAGCTCCCGCCGATTCTCCTCGCTGTCTCCGCAAAGGGGAGCGGAAAGGGTGAAAGTGTAAACCTTGCAGGGACGACGATTGGCATCAGTATTCCTCCAGTGTCCCACCTTTTATCCTGAGGTTCCCCACGCCCCCCGTCCCCCCCTCTTCCCCCCAGTTCATCCCAGGGAGGACAGGTCTCCCCGGTGGTGCTGTCCGGAGGCAGCCTGTCCAACACCTGCTAAAAGCTGCCAGAGCTCAGGTGAGCGGTCCGTGTTTGGGAGCGGGGGGGTGCCCAGCCCGGCGCCTCCGCCGCGCCTCTG